GCATGACAATCGCATGCGATTAATTGCACAGCCCTAATTTCTAAATAGTTTGTTTTTGTATTGGCATATGTTAGGGAAAATCTCACCTTGGACTGGCCGTTTTTACTCTCTGCTGGATCCATCATACGCCAAGAACAACATCCCCATCATCGCCTCTGTGTCTGAGCACCAGCCCACCACCTGGTCCTCCTACTACTTTGACCTGCAGCTTCTGGTCTTCATGTTTCCAGGTACAGCACCTTCCTGTGGCTGCCTTTTGTCTTTAAACCGTCTGACCAGCTTTGTTATTGTTAACTAAAATTATGGAGTCTTTTCACTTTTTGGGGGTTCTCAGATGCGGAAGTCATCATAGATGTTTAGATTTCTAAAGTGGTGAAAGGAAACTAAAACAAAATATTTTTTTGTGTTCTCATTTGCCCTAATAGCAAAATAAATAAAAAATCACTATAGCATTTCTATGACTTTATAAAAGAGGAAAAAATAACGAGATTTTTTACATTATTCAAAAGAGAGAAAGATGTCAAATTTGCCATTACTCCCTTAGCTGCTGTGCTAGAAACACTTATGCAGCAGCATTAACTAGTTTTATATATTTAATTTTATAAGTGTACATAAAAATTGAAAATATAAAAAAAACTTTGCTAGATTTATGATGTTAATAGCTATGGAAACACGTCATCACAGTCTGTGAAAAGGGTCCATTAAATAAATAGTTTTTTGTTAATTGAAATAAAGCAAATATAAAATATTAATTTTAGTTAAACAAATGAAAATTAGAAATAACACCTTGGCTACTAACTGAAATACAATAGGTTTATGTTGAAGTACTAAAATGACTAAAACTGAAATAAAAATAAATTAAAGCTAAAAAGAAAAACTTATTTAAATGACAAGCACATAACTAAATCACTTAACCTTAAACTTAAATTAAAATGAAAAGCGGAAAATAAAAAATAAAGCAAATTCAAAATATTAATAAATACTATTATAGTATATAAAAATGGTAAAATTACAGTGCATTATGTATTAAATCTGTCATCTCTTGTTTCTCCAGTTGGTCTTTATTACTGTTTCAACAACCTCTCCGATGCCACGATTTTCATCATCATGTATGGCGTCACCAGCATGTACTTCTCAGCTGTGATGGTAAAACACTTTTACTTCATACTACTCAATATTTTTGAAGGCATTTCTTTTAAAAAAGGAATCTCTGACCCTTGTTTTATCTGTTCTTCTCAGGTGCGTCTCATGTTAGTCCTGGCTCCCGTCATGTGCATCCTGTCTGGCATCGGCGTTTCTCAGGTCCTCACCACCTACATGAAGAACCTGGATGTCAGCCGACCGGACAAGAAGTCCAAAAAGCAGCAGGACTCCACTTACCCTATCAAAAACGAGGTACGATCAATGCTCTTGATCTTTCTTAGTTTTCCTTACATCATTGGTTCATGCTGGGCTCTTATTGGTCCGTAGGTGGCAAGTGGGATGATTCTGGTAATGGCGTTCTTCCTCATCACATACACCTTCCACTCCACCTGGGTGACCAGCGAGGCATACTCCTCCCCGTCTATTGTGCTTTCCGCTCGCGGTGGTGACGGCAGCCGCATCATCTTCGATGACTTCAGAGAGGCGTATTACTGGCTCAGACACAACACACCGGAGGTCAGTGAGATCCGTCATGATGCTTGCTGACCCTCATAAACTTCCTGCTTCTTTTGATTCCAAGCATTTTTGCTTATCTCATATTACTTTTGTGTGTGCACAGGATGCTAAAGTCATGTCATGGTGGGATTATGGGTATCAAATAACAGCGATGGCCAATCGAACGATTCTGGTTGACAACAACACTTGGAATAACACTCACATCTCCAGAGTGGGTCAGGTGAGGATGTAGTTTTATATAGTTAAACAACAAAAATATAGTTTTGCTGTTTACAGTTTTTATACTTTGGACATTTCTAAAAATGTTTTTCTTCTTCGCAGGCTATGGCCTCCACTGAGGAGAAAGCCTATGAGATTATGCGAGAACTGGATGTTAGTTACGTCCTGGTGATCTTTGGTGGACTGACGGGATATTCATCTGATGGTATGGTATGATTCTTAATAGGGATGCACCGATGAATTGGCCGCCGATATTTATCGGCCGATTTTTGATTATTTTAAAGCCATCGGCATATCGGAAATAGCATGAAAAGGGCCGATACCGTTATGGTTATTAATTAACTGCATGGAGACAACGAGTTGCATGTCTGTTGCATAATCCAACGTTTTTCTCTGGGCAAAATAATTAAATACTTGCCAAAACAAAATAAAATCTGTACAAAATATAGTTTGTCAGACGGCATAGTACGGCCTATGCAAACGTGACGCTGACGCATCCAACGAGTGAAATGCCCGCTCTCAGCTGTAAATTCATCATAGGTAAGTCTATCCGAGACTTTATCCGAGGAGTAAGAGTTTATCCGAGGATATGTCACGAACCGCCAAGCATTAGGCCTACATTTAAGTGAAAATGAATGGCAGGTAATATGCAGCTTTTTGTTTGAAACCAGTGTAGAACACGGATCCACACAAGGTCACATCATGCACCTGCAGTGTTTCTGTGAACAGAGAAAACAGAATAAAACTATATAGGCTACATAAAAAGGAATATATAGGCCTATACACAAAATATATTTCACTTCAAATCATTAACAGATTAACAAAACGAAAGAAAAAAAATTGTGCTGAGTTTCGGATAATTGTTACACACTCCGAAGTTTATGGAAAAAAAACAAGACGGCAGAAAGCGGTTTTCTTTATTTTGTAAAAGCTTTACAGTTTTGAATGATGTTTTGCTTCTCTCTGTATGACCAACCAGCGTTGGTATGACCATAAATTACGGAGTAACAGTTGGGAAAACAATGCAGTGATCGCGTCGGTGCCTCACACGCACATACAACAAATTTTTGTTGCTAATTTGACATCGCAGCCTGTTCATTATCAAAATAAAATACAGTTAAAGAAGCATAAAAAGTTACACTGCTCAATTGAAATAGTCCGTAGTACAGTCTGTGCCGTTCAGTGTGACCAGCACGCGCCTCACTCCTGATATAGCCTATATGTGAAGGATGATGTTTTACGTCGATAATGCGAGTGAAGAACAAAGCCTATAGTTTACATAATAAATAGGTTAGCATCCAGATACTTCGCAAATATGGAAACATTTGGATTCGTGCAGAATGAGAGAGGTAGTCTTCAGTTTTGTTTTTAATTTAATTAATTTGTTTTGGCTTGACGCTTATGTTTAGCCTAAATACAACTTTACAGGATTTGTTGTGGAGAGAAGGGAACTAAAATAGCCTAATTGTGTTTGTAATTTTGCTTTTATTTACAGGTATATTAGCCTACATTATTTCTGAATTTAATAATAAAATGCAACGTACAGCCTACTAATTTAGGCAGTTTTTTCCCTCTCAAAACGCTTATAGGAGTAGCGTTTTTTTTAATCAATGCTGAAACATTTTTAAATATCTTAAAAAATACTTTCATGTTTTTAAAGGGGTCATAGGATGCCCATTTTCCACAAGTTGATATGATTCTTTAGGGTCTTAATGAAAAGTCTGTAACATAGTTTAGTTAAAATTTCTCAGTGGTAGTGTAAAAAACACCTTTTTTACCCTGTCAAAAACAGCTCTTTTCAGATCAAGCCGTTTTTAGGGGTCATAGGATGCCCATTTTCCACAAGTTGATATGATTCTTTAGGGTCTTAATGAAAAGTCTGTAACATAGTTTGGTTAAAATTTCTCAATGGTAGTGTAAAAAACACCTTTTTTACCCTGTCAAAAACAAGTCAAGCCGTTTTTGTAGCATTTTCCTTTAAATGTTAATGAGCTCTGCTGACCCCGCCCATTTCTTCCGAGCTGCTCTCAGAGAGACTGTTTACTTTAGCCGCATTCATCGTGAATCTTGCTAATTAGCACATTATTTGGAAAGGCGATTTGCAAAGATTCATTACAAAACATTATACTCACTTCTTCTGTAGATGGTGGACTGATGACCGCTCACTCAGGGCGGGTCGAAGGTAAGACACCAGTCCAGTCAGTGCTGAAACACTACTGTCAATCAAACTATCGTGGGAGGGGCCTGTCTGTGACGTCACACAGACAGGCATCTGAGATCGGCTCGATTTGAGAAAGGGGAAAACAAATTTTAAACAGATTTAAAAAAAAAAACACTTGGTGGATTTTTATCATTATAGGGTGGTTGTGTACACACACTGCCAACACACATTTCAGTTCAAACAACTTGTAAAAGTGCATGTAGCATCCGATGACCCCTTTAATGCGTAGACAGTTTTTTCTTTTGTTTAATACATTTGGTCTTTGGTAAATCTAGAAAAGATGATGCTGTATTGGCTATGACTAAGCGAGATCAAGACTCTCTTCATTATTTATTTATTTTTTTTTAGTAAATTAAACTCTTTTTTTTTTCTCTCTCATTTTTAAGCCCTGCTTTATGCAATTGACCAATATCGGTATCGGAATCGGCCAATAGGTTTTTGTTAATATCGGTATCGGCCAAAGAAAATCCTTTCGGTGCATCCCTAGTTGTTAATGTTTGAATTGTAGTATCTGGATTGGATGGAACCTAAATAACATGTAAAAATTAATACGTTTATGTGTATTTGTTTGTGTAGACATTAATAAGTTCCTGTGGATGGTCCGTATCGGGGGCAGCACGGACACAGGGAGGCACATAAAGGAACACGACTACTACACACCCACAGGAGAGTTCCGCGTGGACCGCATTTTAAATGCAAAATTGATTTTCGTGCGCTCGAAATGCTTTCTTCTTTGCGAGACAAACATTTTCTCCACAAAACTCAGTTTGCACGCGTGCAAAACGCACTTTTGCGCGCTCAAAATATGCTCTTTCGCGCGCAGAATTGTGGCAGAGATGTAATCCCATAGTCCTGGTATGGCGTCGTTGTGAGCATGCGCACTAGGTCAAATGAGCGTACGCTCCGCTCTGCTCCACAGTGAGCGGCGTGTCAGTGAGGAAGGTGATTAGAGTGTCTTCTTCTGCATACATGACTGTCTGTCGACAATAGCAATGTGGCGCAAGCTGTTCACCTCCGTCCCTGCTTTCAGAGCGCTGAAAGCACCCTGTCGGAGCTTTAGTAGCAGCAGCAGGGGAGCTGAAAAGGACTTCTTTAAAGGTGAGATGATTCACTTAATACACATTATGCATCCGTACGTTTATATCAATATTAGAGGCGTTAAACGTCCTGAGTAAACTGTAAGCGGTGACAAAGTCATGCTCGCATTTCGAATCCTACTATGACTGACAGAAAGGTTAGCTCATTAATATTAATTTGGTCATGGTCATGTTTGGTCATTAATTTGGTCAATATTCATGAGTTAAGCCTTTCTCGCAGTAGCTGTTCGTTCATTCGCTAACTGCGCAACGCCCGCTTGCTTTTCAGCAAATCAGTGAGCTCTACAGGTCGAACGTAGCGATGCGTAATTAATATTCATGAGTGTTGCTTTCGCTATAGTAGGATTTTTTAATTCGCATCCTGCATAACAAATATTATAGATATAACTGTAATTCAGTCCAGTTGAAAACTGTAATCAAAGCGAAATATATTTGTAGTATTTATAGTTACAGTAGATGAATACAAATGATAATTTGTATTCTCTTTTTTTATTACATTTAATTCCTGAATAATTCTAGTCGGTTTCTGTTTTGCTTTTGGATATAATAGTATAATTACCAAACGAAATAATTTTTTTCTTCCAGTATTTAGAGGTATAAATGAAAAATTTTACTACAAACCAGCATTACATTAATAATAAAACTCATTATCTAACAAAATGACAAACACAGTATGGTTTCAAGAAAATGTAGGTAATGATGAAACTGGCTTCTGCCGATAAAACATACTCTCATCTGTCTCATATGTAACTCGTTGCAGATCTGGACACTCATCTGCGGGCGTTTCGGGACAAAGCGGCCGCAGCGATGCCCGGCAGTGACTGGAGCCCGATTGAGTTGACCCCTGGCCTGCCCCCGGAGAGGGCTGATGTGGTGATTGTAGGAGGGGGAGTCGTAGGATGGTCCATCGCATACTGGCTAAAGATGAAGGCGCGAGTGAGGGATGGTCTGAGAGTGCTAGTGGTGGAGAAAGACCCTACTGTGAGTTTATTCAAGGGCACTTGGGAGCATGTCTCAAAAACTAGTGAACATGTATTTGATGCTACAAAGGTGATGTCTATGTAGGTGGCTCAATAAGTTTTAAAACACAGTATCTGCTATATACTGTGGAATGCTAATAATCATGTATTGATCATGTTTTTTAAAAGTTCACCCACAAAAAAGAAAAACTTCTTATGTTGTTCCGCTCCCACCAGACATCATATCAATGTCTTTGGGAAACAATTAAATTTAGTAAAATGAAATTACAAGTGGACGTCTGAGTAAATTAATTCAATTTGAAAGATTGAGTGAATAAGCAAAATGACCCATTTGCAACTGAAGGTACCACCATTATGGTAACACAGTCCTCAGTTAGTTCAGAAAATGCATAGAAATCGTTCATTTGATTTAACATTTATTTGATTGTCCCCTTTTTCTCCGCATCATAATTTTTTTATACAATGAAACCAAATTAGATTTTCAATGCAACCCTTTAATTCAAATGAAACTGAATTGAAATGAGTCTGTCTGACCCTTCTCCGAGGAGAGAAAGATCCTGTTTCCTTGTGAACTATCCCATCCGCTCAACAAAAAACTTTTTTTTTACTCTCTTACCCTTTTCTTACATTTTTAAAATTAAACAAGACTTCTCCTTTTGTGTTCCACGAAAGATAGTCATACAGTTTTCAGAAGACTTGAGGCAGAGTAAATGATTTTGTTTTTTTTAACTATCCATTTAATGGTTAATATATTAAAATCATAACACCAAATACGTAATTAATATTCATGAGTGTTGCTTTCGCTATAGTAGGATTTTTAAATTCGCATCCTGCATAACAAATATTATAGATATAACTGTAATTCAGTCCAGTTCAAAACTGTAATCAAAGCGAAATATATTTGTAGTGTTTATAGTTACAGTAGATGAATACAAATGATAATTTGTATTCTCTTTTTTTATTACATTTAATTCCTGAATAATTCTAGTCGGTTTCTGTTTTGCTTTTGGATATAATAGTATAATTACTAAATATACTATTATATTTAAAATAATTTTTTTCTTCCAGTATTTAGAGGTATAAATGAAAAATTTTACTACAAACCAGCATTACATTAATAATAAAACTCATTATCTAACAAAATGACAAACACAGTATGGTTTCAAGAAAATGTAGGTAATGATGAAACTGGCTTCTGCCGATAAAACATACTCTCATCTGTCTCATATGTAACTCGTTGCAGATCTGGACACTCAGCTGCGGGCATTTCGGGACAAAGCGGCCGCAGCGATGCCCGGCAGTGACTGGAGCCCGATTGAGTTGACCCCTGGCCTTTTAATGCTAATAAATAAAAGGTAATTACAAAACATTTTTATGTTCCTCTCTCTACAGTATTCCCAGGCGTCGACTGTGCTGTCATGTGGTGGAATTCGGCAGCAGTTCTCCTTGAAAGAAAACATCCTGCTGTCACTGTTTTCAGCTCATTTTATGAAGAACATTAATGTAAAATCTTCTATATTGCACAATTAAAAGCTTTCCTGTTACAAATGCACTGTGACCTACATAATTTGTGATGTGAAGTCTAAACATCAGCTAATTTCTAGAGACTTTAAATATTTTGTTGTAAATCGTTCTAAATGTTCTTCACCAGGATCATTTAGGCTGGTCTAGAGTTTTAGAATACTAATAAATGTTTGCAAATTTGTATTTCTGCTGTGTTTTAATGCAACAGAATCATCTCTGGGTTGTAAATGAAGACCCCGTTGATCTACAGTTTAATCATTCCGGATATCTCTTCCTTGCCAGTGAAAAATCAGCTCATATTATGGAGGAAAACTACAGAACTCAAAGGTAACAGGAAAAGTTGGATTACCAGACAGATTATATACCAGTTTCTTTCAACTATATTAGGCGTTTTTATTATCTTTGTGTTAACTCAACCTTTCATATTAGCTGATAAACAGCCTCACAATACAAAGTTAAAGATTAATCAAACATGTTTTTGATTTTATTGGTAGATACGTGGGTGCGAAGGTCGCCCTCCTCTCACCATCCCAGCTGAAGGAGCGATTCCCTTGGATGAACACGGAGGGGGTCGCTCTGGCTTCTCTTGGTTGGTGCCCATTTTCACAATCTTTGATACATCTCACATGCAAACTTCATTGCTGAGTGACATATTTATTCCTCACTAAGGACTAGAGAACGAGGGCTGGTTTGACCCCTGGTCTCTCCTGAACGCTCTCAGACGTAAGGCCGTGTCTATGGGAGTCTATCAGTGCTTTGGAGAGGTCACAGGTCAGGATTCCCAATTACAATATGTTAAAGTTTGTCAAATTAACACCAAATTAGTGCATGTTGTCCTACATTTGGTACTTTTTTTAACTGGTTTTTTTTTTTTTACGCTTCCTTATCAATCTTTGATACATCTCACATGCAAACTTCATTGCTGAGTGACATATTTATTCCTCACTAAGGACTAGAGAACGAGGGCTGGTTTGACCCCTGGTCTCTCCTGAACGCTCTCAGACGTAAGGCCGTGTCTATGGGAGTCTATCAGTGCTTTGGAGAGGTCACAGGTCAGGATTCCCAACTACAATATGTTAAAGTTTGTCAAATTAACACCAAATTAGTGCATGTTGTCCTACATTTGGTACTTTTTTAACTGGCTTTTTTTTTTTTTACGTTGCATTCTTACTTTCAAAACAGAACTCAAGTTGATTCTCTTGAATTTTTAGGATTTAAATGTGCTGCAAATTTGGCAGAAACCACAGATGGAGAGGTTCTTAATGTCCAAAGGATAAAATATGTTCATGTGAGTTCATATGCCTTCTCAAAACATCTCAGAACAGCACACTGTTTTGAAACTTGTTTGCCTTATTTAGGTGCTTTAAAGTTTAAGTGCACTAGTAGCATAACAGAAGGTTATGTGGTTTTAGGTGCGGATGCCCAACAGTCTGGAGTATCAGCCCGTGGAGTGTGCCGTCGTGGTAAATGCAGCAGGTGCAAACTCAGGAAAGATCGCCTCCATGCTAGGCATCGGATTAGGCCCGAAAGAATCCGTGTCTGGTGTTCCGCTACCCGTGGAGCCCAGAAAAAGGTTAAGACTCATTATCGTTCACATTTTGTCACTTTGCGTAGTAAACAGTGGTTACACTGCAATTTGAAATGGTTTCTTACCTACTTGAATAAATAAGAAGTGCCAAATATTCTAAAATTATATTATATTATCATTAATATTTAATTGTTATATTATTAATAATTTATTAAATTTTATATTAAAATATAATTTATAATAATTATATTTTATTACACAATATTTTTATTACATAATTAGTATTCAATTAAACAATATATATATTTCATTTCAATTTAAATAAATGAGCATTTCAAACAGTGTCGCGTTCCGAACGTTGTTTAAGCGACATACATCGGTATTGCGGTATTTTAAAAATTTATATCATAATAAAAATAAACACCGGTATTCGGTATGAACCGTATCATTAATATATGTGACCCTGGACCACAAAACCAGTCATAAGGGTCAATTTGTTTAAATTGAGATGTATACATATAAGTTTAAATTGAGATGTATACATATATATACATACAAATAAGCTTTCCATTGGTGTATGGTTTGTTAGGATAGGACAATATTTGGCCGAGATACAACTATTTGAAAATCTGGAATCTGGGGGTGCAAAAAAAAATCTAAATATTGAGAAAATCGCATCTAAAGTTGTCCAAATGAAGTTCTTAGTAATGCATATTACCAGCCAAATATTCTAAAATAAATAATATTATAAATATAATTTAATTTAAGAATTAATTACATTTTATGCTATTGAAATATAATTTTATAATATTTAAATACCATTAGAATTCAATACAATAAGATAAATTTCATTTTAATTTAAATGAATGAGTAGTGACAAATATTCCAAAACAACTGTTGCGTTTAGTTTTAGATATTATATTATATTATTGTGTATATATATATTATTATTATATATATATATTATAATAAAATATCCTAAAATAACTGTTGCATTTAGTTTTAAATATTATATTATACTATATTAAGTATCATTAATATATGTGACCCTGGACCACAAAACCAGTCATAAGGGTCAATTTGTTTAAATTGAGATGTATACATATAAGTTTAAATTGAGATGTATACATATATATACATACAAATAAGCTTTCCATTGGTGTATGGTTTGTTAGGATAGGACAATATTTGGCCGAGATACAACTATTTGAAAATCTTTGGTTGGCATAAAAGAAAAATCAATCATTTTGACCCATACAATGTATTTTTGGCTATTGCTACAAATATACCCCAGCGACTTAAGACTGGTTTTGTGCTCCAGGGTCATATATTAATTAAATATTAAACATATTTTATTAATTAAATCCTTCCATCCATTCTTTAAACTGCTTATCCACTGTAGGCTTGTGGGAATGCTGGAGCCTGTTATTAAATATTTTTAATAAATAATTAAATATCATTAGTATTTCATGTCAAATTTAATTTTAATAATGACATTTTAATTATGTATAATTCTAGAACTGTGTAGTCTCATTAGCTACATCGTCCCTATCTCCTCCAGGTTTGTTTATGTGGTACATTGTCCTGATGGACCAGGGCTGGATACTCCATTTCTGATTGACTATTCAGGGGTTTACTGTAGACGAGAGGGACTGGGAGGAAATTACATCACGGGAATGTCACCAGAGGAGGTATAGGCACGTTTTGAGTCAATCTCTGACATATTAGCTTTATTATCTGCACGAATTTATGCATTTGTTCATTCGTTCATTATTATTTCTACCTTGTGCAGACAGAAGAACCAGATATCAGTAACCTTGATGTGGACCACGAGTTCTTTCAAGAGAAGGTCTGGCATCGTCTGGCCCACCGTATTCCTGCATTCGAGCAACTGAAGGTGAATTTCATAATGTAGAATTGTTCTTCCATGTTATCCACTGCATGAAAGGGAGTTTTCTTGAGCTTTATTTAAAGTCCTGGGACTAATTGAACCATTTCTGATTGCTGTTAGAGGGTAAAGTGCATTACATGGGTTTGTTTGTGTCTACTAGAAGTTCTACCACTCAGTTTTTTTCCAAATGAAGCACTTTGCTCTTATGGTCCATCTTTGTCAGGTCTCAAGCGCGTGGGCTGGGTTTTATGACTACAACACCTTTGATCAGAATGGCATTATTGGACTTCATCCTCTTGTGCCCAACATGTACTTTGCCACGGGCTTCAGTGGTCACGGTCTGCAGCAGTCTCCTGCGGTCGGACTCGCAGTGGCTGAGCTTATTCTGGACGGAGGCTATAAGACCATCGACCTTAGTGCTTTTGACCTTAAACGGATCCTCCTGCAGGAGCCCATACAGGAGAGTAACATCGTGTGAGGAGCACAAAAACATACAGGGAAGATGAATGTGTCCTCAGGATGGAGCCACTTGACATGAACGTCACAGTGATATCATAGTTCAGACAGAACTCTCACTGGAACAATGGAACTGAATTTTCAGGAGGATGAGTTCAGTTTGGAAACAAAACATAATCAGATTATTAAAAGGGTTAGTTCACCCAAAAATGAAAATTCTGTCATTAATTACTCACCCTCATGTCGTTCCAAACATGTAAGACCTTCGTTCATCTTCGGAACACAAATGAAGATATTTTTGATGGAATCAGAGCTCTCTGACCCTCCATAGACAGCAAGGATACGTAGCAAGGAACAAGAAACGTAGCAAGGGCATCGGTAAAATAGTCCGTCACATGGACTATTTTACCGATACCCTTGCTACGTTTCTGTGCGTTGATCAGGGGTTCAACCGTAATTTTATGAAGCTACGAGAATACTTTTCTGCGCAAAGAAAACAATAATAGCGGAAGACGGTAACTCAGGGAGAACAACTGCTGAATAAATTATGCCATTTTTGTTTTCTTTGCGCACAAAAAGTATTCTCGTAGCTTCATTAAATTACGGTTGAACCCCTGATCAATGACTATTTTACCGATGTCCTTGCTACGTTACTGTGTGTTGAT